TTTTCTTTAGGCATGAGGCTGTCAATCAGGCATATGGTGCTTCCCTTACACAGGATGTCTAGCTTGTGGTACCGAGAATAAAAGAAAAACTTTTTCAGATACAAAGTGTAGCATAAAGAGCTTGAAGCACAATGAAGATTAGTGAAATAATTGTCTATTTCTCTTGGAAAATACACTAAGTCCAGAAATAAAGTCCAGTAGAAAATTGAACATGGAAAAAAAAATCGAAGGATAATTGTTTTCACAGCTATAAAAAAGGCTTAGCAATAGCTGCTCAGGCACTTGCCCTGGGAAGTTGGAAATTTGTACCAGATGAATGAATAATGAGGAATTCTGATTATTTTATTCCTATGGGAAAAGTTGGATGATTGGAATAAAAGCAGAAATTGGTCTTAAATTTATTTTCACTTTTGTAGATGACGTGGGGGCAGGAAAAATAAAATCCCAGAGGGGACTTAGAAAGAAAAGAATATATAATTTTAAAAATTCCAGAGTTTTTTTTAAGTTAATGAGTTTAAAAGCAGAAGACAAAAGAGACTTACCAAATATGTTCAAGTGTACAGAAAAAAAAAAAGGTAACAGTAACAAAAAGAAGTCAGCAAAGAAAGCTGGCATGGTAGTGCAAAAGCAATGGAAAGTGAGACTGAATGCAGCAAATTGAACAGAGAGGAAAAATGATACAGGTATACTTACTGTAAGAAAATACTTGTGGGAAATACTGTAAGAAATATATGATTCTGACAAGAAAGCCAAGGTGGAAAACATCAAAAGAGGAGTTTTATGAAAGGAAGAGGGCCGGTCAAATAGCTCCTTGGATTAAAGTGCCTGCAAGCAGGCGCAAGGGCCAGCGATTTGATTCACAGGCCTGCAGTGCCAGCCCTGCCCCTGGGGCATGCTGAGATGGCAATTGAGACTGGGCATGGTGGTGCACCCCTGTAATCCCAGTTCTTGGGAGGCTGTAAACAGGAGAATCATTACACATCCAATCTAGTAGTGGGACCCGGAACACCTGGTAGACCCTTCCCTAAAAAAAAATACAGAAAGGAAGAAGAAGAAAGAAGAAAAAGAAGAAGAAGGAGAAGAAGAAGAAGAAGAAGA